CTGGCCTGCCTGCCCCCTGGTGGGCTGAGCTGGCCACACAATAAATAAATAAATAAATAAATAAATAAATAAATAAATAAATAAAGTGTGCTAGCTGTAAATCGACTTCTGTAAGATATCCAATGCATCTGTATCTCAAATCTTTTCACTTATACTTTATGTAAGTGTCCATTCTAACTCAAGCAACTTGAGTACTTTTTTTGGTTTTGGCACTGAGGCCTTGTGCATGTTAAACACTCATTCTGTTCTACCAAAAAATACATTTTTAACCCAACTAGGGTTATTTTTATATCCCCCCACTTTTCAACTTTGGTCTAGTCTTATAATCCATTTTCATGTCAGTCGTTTTTCTAAATTCTCTTGTTATAACCCTAATATCATTTTTTTATTACTTAAATAGTATAATCTAAGGGCCATAATATGGTTTGTAAAGTGCTTTTGATTCCTGACCTGTCTAGCTTCATCTTTGCCATTAATCAGTACCTCCCCTTCATGGCCAACTTAAAAATTCAAATTTATTGTCCTAATTTCTGTTCATCTTTTTTTTTTTTTTTTTTTTTTGTATTTATTTATTTATCTTTGGCAGAACCAAGGATTGAACTCAGGCCCTTGTGCTTGCGAGGGAAGCGCTTATTCCACTGAGCCATCTCCCCAGTCCCTCTGTTCATCTTTTATTGCCTACTACTAAAACTTTTTAACTTCTGAAAGATAGGTGTTAATGGTCACGTTGGAAAGTTGTCAGAGTACCCTCTGTCTCATCCACTTATTTAATAAGACTAGAAACCCAGGCGTCATCTTAGATATTTAATTTTCCCTCACTGTCCGCATTCATTATCATACTTGTTTCTTTCTCTTCATTTATATGGCCACTCTCTTAGTACAGTGCCTCACTCTGTATTTTAACATGTTACTGTTTTTCATGTCTCATTTTGTCACTTCATTGAAGCTCCTTCAAGTAAAATTCATCCACCTGAAGACTTTTCATAAATCTCCTTTTTCCTCTAGTCTCTTTCCTCAGTATGTATCTCATATTAGGTTGTCAGTTCTCAGAATGGGCTGCACTTTCTTGGTTTCTGTGCCTTTGTTCATTTTCTTCTTTGCCTTTCTTCATCAGTCTCATTTCCTATTCTTTAAGATTTTTCTTCCAGTATGTAACCATTTTCTTCTGTTTATCCTCATTGCCCCTCAGATAGGTATCTGTAACCTTCAGTACATTCCTGTCTACATTGGAGAATTTACGTGTGTATCACAATTTATCTCTATATTCTTGAGTATCTAGCATAATTCCTGGCACTGGGAAAGTGGTCAGTAAATACTAAATGACAGTGCATAACCATTTAATTGAATTTCATTTTTTCCTTCTTGTTAGACCATTTATCTGGTTTATCAAAGGTGTTTTGTTTTACTATTTGTCTTCCAACATGGTAACCGCTGTACATATAAGTGTCTAATCATAGTCTTATCTCATTGGCTTCCCATTTGGTTGCATGTGTTGACTTATAACTCACACTCAAGTGATACTGGTGTGTGATTAATACTAAATGATGTTATCTTAAACAAATGCACATTTATGTAGGGAAAAGCTACAGAAGCATTTTGACTCATATACTATATTACAGTTCAAGAAATTCTCTGCTATATATCTAATTTGTAGGACTGGGGATCAAGCCCAGAGCCTCAGTGTTGAGCTACATCCCTAGCCTTCTTGTGCTTGAATTTGTGACCCTCCTGCCTTAGTTTCCTGGAGTGCTAGGATTTACAGAAATCCTTTTAAAGAAATGCCTTTTCCTAAAATACAAATTTTTAGTGCCTTCTTGGCAACTATTTTCTAAAAACTTACTTTGAATCAGCATCTACTGGAAGCTAGACTTTGACTTCTGTACAGAATTTTTAATACAAGAATACAAATTATAAAGGAAAATATATATACACAAAATAGTTAAGGTAATTATATTACTAATTTCACTTAGTTCACTGAAAAGAAAGGTTTGTGTTAATACTGTTCAGACAGTATTTCATGCCTGTATCTTATACTGAGTAACTACTTTGAAGATAACTATGCAACATATTAAGTACTGTTACTCTCCCGTTATCTTGTTTTGAAATTTTGGATATATATTCTCTCTCTCTCTCTCTCTCTCTCTCTCTCTCTCTCTCTCTCT